TGAAAGACATCCTGGGGCCTCCAGTGTTTGAAATGGAGGTAAGCAGAGAGAGAGAAAGAGCAGCGTGTGCAGTGTTCATAATCCACAAGTTTATTACAGAAACATGCAGAATTTATTCCCATGAACATTTTTGACCGCCTGAATTTTCTGGACCTCACCCGATGCAATTGGTTTCCATCACAATCCATGACTCTATAAAGGCAGCCTGTGAGCAGATCTCTCAGCTCCACACAGCTGCTGCTCATCCTGTCAGATTAAAGTCATTTGCCTTTCTCCCTTCATCTCTCCAGGTCATGTGGAACTTGTTTTCTATGTACTTTTATGAGGATTGAAAAAGATGTTTTCATGTGTGCATATTGGCAGGTCTCTGAGCGGCTCACGCTGCCTGGTGTAGCTCTCGGCCTGGCCTGGACGCCGCTTGGTGGGGAGATCATGTTTGTGGAGGCCAGTCGGATGGAGGGAGAAGGTCAGCTCACTCTCACGGGTCAGCTGGGAGACGTTATGAAAGAATCTGCCCACTTGGCCATCAGCTGGCTCAGAGCGAATGCTAAAACCTACCAGCTCACAAACAGTGAGTCCAGATACACCAGTGTTTATATTCTATTTTGTAGTTTTAGAGAAATACAAAACAACTTATGTTGTGCAACTGTGTGTGTGTGTTCGAACAGTGGTGGGGGGTTCAGATCCTTTAGAGGGGACAGACATCCACCTCCACTTCCCCGCTGGAGCCGTCACCAAAGATGGCCCCTCTGCTGGTGTTACAATCGTCACCTGCCTGGCTTCACTGTTTAGCGGCCGACTGGTCAGATCAGACGTCGCCATGACTGGAGAGATCACGTTAAGAGGGCTTGTGCTGCCAGTAAGTTATCGTAGTAAACACACATAAAACGATCATCTCTAGTCCACTCTAGTTTTGACAGACAAGTGTGGCCCGTCCTCTGCAGGTGGGCGGGATTAAGGACAAGGTACTGGCTGCACACAGGGCAGGAGTGAAGCGCGTCATCCTCCCGAAACGCAACGAGAAAGACCTGGAGGAGCTTCCAGCAAACGTCAGAGCCAACCTCGACTTTATCACAGCCACAAACTTGGACGAGGTGCTCAACGCCTCTTTCGATGGAGGGTTTCCGGGAGTAAGCGGCACACGTGCACACCCTCAGCTCACCAGCAAACTGTAACACACTGCTCAAAACACATTAATAATGTAAGGCGTCTGTGATCTTGGATAATTAAGCCATGTTTTTTGATCCTTAGAAGTGCTGTAAGGTCTTTTTGCAGATGATTTGTTCAGTATTACAAAGCCAAGTTGAAGATGGAGCTGAGATACAGGAGAATTCAGTTTACAAAATCCCCAGCTCCTCTTTGCTAATAGCACTGTGCAGCCAGCTCAGAAATAACTGCTAAATATCATCATAGTGGGGCTTTGTTTAGCTGCTTATTTCTTTCACATTGACCTTGTATTAGTAGCCTGGCTATGTCTTCCGAAGCAGGGGGACTAGTGAGTGATACATGCCTTAAAGATTCATACAGGTTGAATTTGTGCGCTGAAAAAGCCCAAATGTGCATGAAGAGTGCTGCTAAGGGAAATAAATTGATGTTTATGTAAATTGTTCTCCTTAATCACATTTTATTTCACTCTAGTTGGATTTTTGTCAGTGGATCTTTCACATCCACAATAAAATTTTATTTAGCTGCACTGATAGTGATGAATATATTCTGTGATTTAAAAACTGTAAAGATTTTTTGTTTTCATTTCCTCCAATAGGCTGATAAATTGAAACATAAAATAAATTTTGATTTATTTTATTTACTGTGACATTTACCGATTTAATTATTTAGCCCACATTTTTCCTGCTCTTGGAACATTTAGTTGGACAAAAACTAGAACTGTACAGTTGAACTTCATCATCTTAAAAGTATAGCTTTTTTATGCTTTAGCCTCAAGGATTCAAGTGTGCAGTACAATATTCAGATGATTAGCTGACTAATATCTTTAATTTGATAGCTCACTGAGATTACTTCTGATTCTGATGTTGTTTTTTTAGTGAGTTATGGTTAAATCATAGAGGGACATGATTCCATAAATACGTGTTTAACTGAAAAGCATAAAATGGAAAACACTAATGTACAGTTATTTGTTTGACTTTTAAGCAGTCTGAAAATATCACACAGATGCATTCAAAGTCCATTGGTGACACCATACAAGACAGTTTCTTCCATGCAACCTCATATTTTGGTCATACACAGTAATACTGTGTAACAGCTTGAGAAGTTGCATGTTTAAAAGTGCTCATTCATTGTAATAAACGTTTCTGCCTCTGAGGGGTGCTATAGAGTCTTCATGAGGCTGCACTTTTCTTCAGTCTTGTTGAGTGCTGCCCTCCTTGTTTTGTCACATTCCGCCAGCCTAGTTACTGGTCTAGGGGAATAGGTTTCCATGCGAATCTTTAGTAAACTCAACTAATCCAAGTTCATTATTAATTTCTGCTCAATTGCTTTATAGGAGCTATAATCTTGTACAGCAAGAGATGAGCTTGCTGGCAGCCTGCTGACATACAAGCACTAGAGATGAAGAATAATATTTAAGGATGGTGTGGCCTTCAAGAGTAATCACGAGGGGAAATGTTTGTTTGTTTTTTAAATGCCTTTCCATTCTCTCTTCTTTTTCTAAAAATTTATAATGCAAACAAAAATATTCAGTCCACAGTTTTATAGCTTCTCTGACAGTGAAACACGCCCACACATTTGCAAGTGGTAGAAGCCTCTTGCATCACTTTTTGAGGTACAGATGCCTTTTTGTCAGCTGCTTTGTTTGAGAGTGAGCAAAAGGAATCCTCAGGCTTCTGTCAAAGCTCTTGGGCTTGGCCACAAGATTGTTTCTGTGTGCTCGTGGCTGGACCAGTGATGTTTCCATGGGTCTGTTGGTGGGAATATTAGAGCGTGGCTGATATGATGTTGGGGATTCGACTTGAACCTGATTACTCACATTAGGGTAGATCTGTGGATCTGTCGGCCTCAGAGCCCTCATGTATTGGAAAGGGCGAGGATTTCCATACACATCTTGTTCCCCTCTTCCACCCTGCCACATTCTAGGCTGCACAGAACTTGTGGCTGAGAAAGAACATGGGTAGGAATACAGATTATAATCATGTTGGTAAAGCTTAGAACACATCTACAGTTTGTCAGTATTGTTTAGATAGAACTTCAGTGTTGAGTTTATTAGGCCAGTGTCAAAGACATTTGTATTCTTATACTCTTAACAGGAGGAAGGAAGTCCGTTAATTTGTGTGATCCACTCAGAGCATAATATTCATATATATTTATACCATCTACAGTTACCCAGCTTGAATTTTCCTTTTCCAAATTTAACACCGAAGAACTCCGCCTTTTAAAAGCAATTACTAAAGTAAAAAGATAAAACACCATGCTTACGATGACTGATTACATAAGTTGAGATTTTGGTATCTAAACATCTGCAAGTTAACTTAATGCATCATACGTGGAACCTGTAGAGTTTCCCCCCACTAAATGAAACCCAGCTGTGACGTTAAAGTAATGCAAACTCAGCGTTACATTTTACCTCAGTGTGCTGTGAGCCATTTACATACCCTGCTTTAACCAAATTAAATCTGCCAATTTGAGCATGAGGTATCTCGACCCTAACCCAATAGCTGTAAAATCCTGATAAGTTACACTAGTAGACTTGTTTAGTGACCAACAGCTTTATCACCTGAAGTGGGGAAGAGGAAAAAAACTGCCCGGATTACATACTACATATTTTGTTCCAATGTAAATACTATTAAACCTCTTTCAAATATTATCTAAAGAGATGCTGCAGATTCTGGGTGCAGGCATGACTTCACTGGACTCCTCAGGTAAGACATAAAGTTGTCATTTCATAAAATCATTAGAGTAGGTTTCAACATGCTCACCTCTTGGAAGAGCTGAGGAATAGTTCACATCACTCAAAACATAAAGCAGTAAAAACCTGTCAAGCAGCACAAATACAGTCAAGATAAAACCAGACCAAAGCTTCACATTCAAGTATAGGAAGTGCATATCATGAAAATACATTTAAACATTGTAGCTTGCAATTAAGAACTGGGCAACCATGACTCCAGTAGCTGCACTCACTGTCCTCACAAACCCTCCAGCTGGACTGTGCATGCAAAGCACTCACATTTCCACGGGTCCACCAGCTACTCCGACCAAACACCAGTGTATATCTGAGTTACGTGTTTAGGACATGCTGCTGTCTTTATAGGTCCTTCCTACCAGCAGGTGTTTCCAATCAGGCTTTTTAATGAGAAGTTGAACTGAGGTACCCAACAGATCAACTCCCCCACTTCTTTTATGCATACATGTTTATTTTGCTCTTCACTCAAACTTTTGGGGAGACACAAACTGTTATTCCAGGTAACCTGTTAACCAATCAGAGAATACTAAATGTTTAAAAATCTGGCTAGATTCAAACTTTACACAGGAAAAGTAAAATAATATCTGAAAAGTTATACTTGTTTATTTATGATGCACTGAATTTCATAAATCCAATGTAATTTTTAGCACTAGGTGCAGTGACTCCCAAGCTAGGCGAGTGGCTCCAGCAGATCCCAGGAACAACATCTGAGATCTCTGTCCAGAAGAGTGCAGTCCTAGGAACAGCAACGATACTGCGCAGGACTCTTAAGCTCCCAGGCCTCTGGTAGAGGACCCGAGCTTGAAGAATAGTCCGTCTGCAGGGGGCGATTTTTGATTTCTTTTGGAATGTCCTGTCTGGCTTTTTGTTCGACCTTTATTATTATTATTTCATTTTTACTTATTACAATCAGAACAGATGGGACCGGGGACAGGATAGAGGAAGAAAGAGAGGCTGGGAAGACATTTAACAGAAGAAGATGGGAAGAAAAATAGAGGAGAAGAGGAAATGAGAGAGAAAAGACACTGAAAATCTGCTTGATCGCCTGCTGAGAGTGGAAAAAAAAGGGCAAAAAGCAGACAACATAGTAGGGAAACCACAGCAACAACCATAAGCATCAGTAATAGTAAGTAATAAATTTTGAGTGAACAGCATACAGTACTAATAATACATTATATGTTTAGAGGCAGCAGCCAACCAAGATAGTGTGTGTGTACCTGTTTGTACACCTGTCTGGACACTTGTGTATAAACCTATGTGCACACCCATGTGTGTGGACGCACGTATGTTCACAAGATTTCTCCATGTAAGTGTCTAATAGTGGGTATGGGGAGCCATAACGCTGCCCCGCAGGTCATCAGCGACTGGAGGAGATCCGGGCCCCAGACATGTATAGGATTACAGGATTTCTACAATCTTTACAAGGGGGCAATATGAGTGCAGTGATGGAATGTAACTAAGTCAATTTATTCGTCTACTATTCATATAAGTTTAGTTTTGATTTGCTTGTACTTGTGAAATTGAGTTTGCCAGGTTCCACTTATTTGGTCCTGAAGGAACCTACTGGAGTGGCAGTGTCGTCTTCAGAGGCCTCATCTTTATCACCATGGTCACCTGCATCTGAAGGATAATCATTGGGACCAGACTCAACAATAATACTCTACCAAAGCTCAGAAAAGACAGATGGTATGAGGACCTCATGACAGCAAATTGCAAGAAATGTAAGTTAGCTTCAGGATCTGATGTTGTAACTGCTATTTTTTTTTTTTACCAATACTAATAATGAAATATTGTTAGTATTGGTAGTGCTGAATGTTTTTATAACAGCCTGGTAGATGCTCTATATTATTTTCTTGCTGTTGTTATTTCAGATTGCTTTGTATTCAAAGCCAGGTAGCCAGTCTTCAAAATGTTTAGGAAGAAGGTGTCTGTTTCTTCCAAAGTGGCCAACATTCTTCAAGCCAAGCCAAATCTGCTTCAAGGCCCTTTCACATCGGACACGGCATGCGCTGCGCTCACCATTTGCTCGAGTGAGGGACCCAAAATTTGTGTTGAGTTGGCTGCTGAAGATATGATTTTTAGAATTGTATTGAAGTAGAAGTTCACTTTTGATGTGAACAGATGTGGATTATCAAGGGCTGATGTTTTAAGATGGCAAGGAGACCCAACATGCAGCAGATTTATCTATTCCAGATAAGCTTGGTGTTGCAGCACAGAGACAGGATTGTTTCTATTATAACTAAATGTGCACATCGGAACAAAAATAATTGTGCACCAGGAGTTAAACATTTTACTCCTCAAAATTTACACGCACTCAAAATCAGACTCCCAGTTTTGTTTAACGTAATTCACTTGGTTTCTTTCTCAAGTGGTGGGTAGCATGAAGACTTTTCACAAGGAAACTGGCTGCTCAGCTCTTCCTCCTGTGTGTTGGAGAAAGAAAGAACAACATCCAGAATTTCTAAATTGTTAAGACAATGAAGAAATCAGAAGGTCATTCCCTGTGTGATCCAAAAAATATAATAGAATGCCTTTATTTTCACTATACAGATGTACAAAGAGACACAGAATAGAGATGTAGACCGGGGTTGCAGCCCTGACAAGCTTTTCAAGGCCCAATTTCCATTTGCTGTGAAATGTTCATGTGTTACATTTGCAAGATACAGCACACAAGCTGTTTAGTGTTATTTAGACATTTCCAACATGGTTTGTATCCAGGAAGGTTTTTGCATATGTAAAGTGTAGAAGTAAATTTATATGTTATTTTATACACAAAGAGGTGTTTAAATGGGTTATAGAGGTAGTTGTGTACCCATTCGGTGGTTACATGCTTTGCTATTTACATGTTTACGCATCTGAATGTTTACACATGCATGTTCAAAGCAGTAATAAGTATGTGTTGAATCTACTTAGTTGTTTTCCCTGCATTGATCTGAGTATAGGTTTTCCTGGCTTTCAGTGGCTGCAGTGCAGTATTCATGAAGGCTATACACAGGAAGTGTTTGGTTGTTGTTGCTGTGTGCTGAGAGTAAAGAGGCTGCTAAGAAAGTTATCCATCTCCATCTTGCTGTTTCTAATCGTTCAGAGAGATTCCAAACCACATAGTGAACCCTCACACTACATACATATACTATATGTATGTATAAAAAATAAATTCTCCTCTCAGCCCTGCGGATGGTCTATCCTTCAAGCTCGGGTCCTCTGCCAGAGGCCTGGGAGCTTGAGGGTCCTGCGCAGTATCTTTGCTGTTCCTAGGACTGCGCTCTTCTGGACAGAGATCTCGGATGGTGTTCCTGGGATCTGTTGGAGCCACTCACATAGCTTGGGAGTCACTGCACCTAGTGCTCTGATTACAACTGGAGCCACTGTTACCTTCACCCTCCACATCTTCTCGAGCTCTTCTCTGAGACCATGGTACTTCTCCAGCTTCTCGTGTTCCTTCTTCCTGATGTTGCTGTCATTCGGAATCGCTACATCTATCACTACGGCCGTTTTCTTCTGTCCGTCTACCACCATTTTGTCCGTCTGTATCTGACAAATAACAACATTATTTTTAAATGCCTTTACTTTTTGTTACTAGCAGCATGTCACAAATACACATAGCTTGTTTCCATTTCATTAACTGAATGTAGAGAATATGCAAATGATAACACAGTTTGACCAGCATAAAACAATATTTTTGCACCAACAAAGTGATTCACAAAGCTCTATTACCCAGTGATGTTTACAGTGTAGTTAGATATTTTGAGGAAACTGGACAAGTAAAAGATAAAGAAGTGGTAAACCTAAAAAAAAAAAAACTAAACAAAACACTATCTACAGCAGCTGAACAGCAGCTTTTTAATGTCATTCAAGATGCCTACAACTAGTCCTGAATCCTACTTAAAGAAGAGAGCTGCCAAAGAGAGTTAAGGCTGTGTTAAAGAATAATCGTAAAAGTTGGTTGTGCTAAATCTTTACTTCAGGCTTGTCAGAATGGCACAAACTCTGCCTTTGCCTTATGTGCTGCTGCATTTCTATGTATGTTTGTATATGTGTCAATAAATTGCTGCATCTAATTCCTAAAAAAAAAAGACGCACTCCTTTTTATTTTCCAGCAATAAAAAGAAGTAACTTTTGTAGTTCAATTTACTATCAAAATGCTTCCTTTTTTAAGCTCGTATTTTTTGAATTTGTTCATGAAAATGTTTCGTTGGGAATAACTGATGTAATTACATTTCACTGAATTTGATTTTGCTCGTTATTACACAGGTGTGTAAATTCCAGCCTTGTCATCCTATGCTTTCTTCTTCCTGGAAAAAAGAAGAAGAAGAAGAAGACAGGAAGTGTTCCTGTTGCTGTTGACGAGCACGGGCGTGAGATAACGGAGTGCGGAGATTTCGAGGGTTCGTGTTATAATTCCTTATTTCTTTCTTATTATTATCATTAGTAGTATTTATTTTTCCTTCTGCTGTCGGTTAATAGGCTATGAAGCCAGAAAATCTCCGGTGAACATTACTGATGATGAACTAGCTTCTTCAGGCCATATAGCGACAGTCGAGTGGTCAGCGTCGGTGTGTTTCAAGTGCGGTGCTGAGCCAGTGTTTAAAACGCTGCGAGACGTCGCATTTAAACTACGGTTCTACAGAAATGTAGATAATGTGTGTTGAGTGTACTAACGTTTTGTATGTAAGAGGTTTTTGCTCTCACTAGCGCGGTGAGCCATCTGATTCAGCGAGGAACAGAATGAATCAGGCCTGTCGTTTGGTGTAACAGCCATTTCTTCCACCTGCGCTATCTCACTTCCTTCGAAAATACGACATTAATATTAAGGTTATCAATTGTATCACCCTTGAGATGTACGTGTGTTGGTGTGAAGCCAGTAGCACTGGTATAATAACAATGCTTGTCGTTGCTGCTTTTTCCAGGCTCCCTTCGTATGGCAGGTTTAGCTTCGCCATTGCGCTTGCAGGCGCTGCGGCTATTAGTCCTATTTTTATGGGTGCGGGTCCTCTGTGTTTAAATAGTTCCATTTCTCTTTAAAATTAAACTTTGGAAACATAAAATATCTTGGTTTATAATTGTTTCATGGAAAGAAAAAAATTGGCCGGCCCCTTTTTTTCCCCCAATTTATTGCTTGTTTTTTTGGTTTTTTTTTGTATTGTTGCTGGTGTTGTTTTTTTTCCTTTTTTTGCGGCTTTTTTTTGCTGTATTATATTGTTTTTTTTTGTTGTGGTTATTAGTATTTTTTTTTTTCTTTTCTGAGTGGTCATCTGTTATTCTTCAGTAATTATTGACGTTTTATACTGAACAGTTTACTGCATTTCTGCAAGCTTAGCTTAGGATGGAACATTGCATCATTTTTCTTCAGTGTCTTAAATTAAGCATTAAATAAATTCAAGTTACAACTAGGGCTGCTTTTTCAAGTGGAAGAAATATTAATATAGCTGGGCTGCTAGATCCCAAAAGGACTGGTAAATGCCATTACCTGATTAATCTGGTGAGTTTGTAAGATGAGTTTCAGCTCTTTACCATGAGATAGCTTATATGCTATATGCAATAGCTGATCTAGCAGTACAAGCTTGTCTCTTATTTCAAGTCACTAATAACTAATCCTTTATAATAATAATAACGATGATGATAATAATAATACTTTTAATGTACACTATTTTTGCCATGTATCACGGTTGTCTTGCAGGTTAGCTTTAACCTGATTTAGTGTTTCTTTGTTCATGCTGCTTAATGTCTTACATAGCGCAATGTTTATGTTTCATGTATACATTAGTAGAGATTACGGCAAAGTCATGCCATGCATCTGATCTGATGGCTAACTTTCCCTTTAGTAGCTGACAGGATAATGTGTCCCTCAGAGCTGAGTACATTACACACACACACACACACACACACACACCTGACACCTTACCAATTCTGGTATTCTATGGTAAATGACAGTCTGGCTTCACAGTGCCAGGCACTGAACTCAGGACGACCCTCATGGAGTCTGTGATTGTCTGTGATGACATTCACACAGGCCTGCAGCTATTGATTGTTTTAATAACTGATTAATCTATTGATTATTTCATTGATTCTTTGAGTAATCAGATAAAAAAATGCTTTTGTCTCATTAATGAGCAAATATATATAGTCAAAAGAGAAAAAATACAGGTCTTTCAAAATGAACTGCTCATTGGCTTCCATTTTAGAAACTGCAACGTTTTTTTTTTTGTTTCATTTATTATCTGTTTCATTTGTCCAAAAAACTAAAACATTTTTCTGGATATTTTAATACAACTTCTGGAGGTTTTTTCAAAGTAAATGCTTTAATTGTAATTAAAACAAAGCTTTCTCCAAAGGATGGATGCTATTTTGGATGTTAGAAACACGTTTTCTTTCACTCTACCTGCGCTCTTGTTCATGGCTCTGCTTCTTTGCTCTTGTGTATTGTGTGTGTAAATGGACTCCAGCTTCATTTTAAACTGTGCCTGTGTCATCATCACTGCTGCTGTTGCGTTATCAGTGTTTCTGTTTAAAACTGGGGGCTGTGTGGGCTTAATGTTGCCAAACCTTTTAGTCACACACTGCTCTTAGATACGTTTCTATTGCTCGTCTGTTTTTAGTCGCAAATGTGGCTTTTGCCTTCCCATGGTTACAGAGCCATGCCTTAAACGAAGCATCAACGCAAAGAATTTGTGTTTAGAATCAAATGAATCGTTGCAGCCCAAATTCATACCAATGGCCTGCTGGAGGTCATTTTGTAGGCCATTTTATTTTATACTTGTTATAGTATAACAAGTAACATACTGCATGACTTTTAAGAAAAGCGTTATGTGTAATATATGTATTGATTACTTTTTGAATAATGACCCTGATCACAACAAAGAAGGGAAACACCGGCAACATACCACATTGACCACATTGCATGTAACTAATTTGCACAAGTGTACTGTGTTTAACATGCTCCTTAACAATGGTGGTAACTGTCAAAGTGGAGCCATTGAGAACCTAATGAGAATGTATAAGAGAATCATAAATTGTAAAACTTTGTGAAACGAGTCTAATACACGCCAATCAGTCGACAGGTATTAGAAGTGGCGATACTGCGTTTTTGATGCTGGTAGCTGGCATTAGTACAACTTTCCCAGAAGTAGATCTAACTTTGTTGGATTATGACACTTAGCCAATTAAACTTTTGTGTGCTGTCAGAATGTAAGGAAACTGTTTATCAGAGGGAAAGTGATTCTTTTTTCTGATTTTATTTTGTTTGTTTGTTGGAAAATTGTATGGTACCTGGCAACCATTTATATTCTTTGTTGAAAGGATGGCAGCTGTTGTTATTAGCATATAACCAGAATATTATTAGTGTATTTTAAATATATGACAAAATAACTATTTGTTTTATTTTCTTCTCATCTCTTTTCTTCTCTTCTTCTTCCTCCAATTGTTGACATTTTGTTGCATTTTCATTAGAAACAGGGAGCATGGCAGCTAGCTGATTGTCAATCGCCAGTTGGTGTCTGCTTCAAGCATGCCATGTTTGACTGATCTGGATAGGGCCGGTGCTATAGAGCAACTTCAAGCTGCCATGAATGGCAATTGTCAGCTCACCTGCTGTATTCAAGACAGCAAGTCAACTTGGCTGCTTGCACAAATCTTTGCCCACTTTTATATATTTCTAATAGATTAAATCTAAGTGAAGGCATCAGGTTTTTGGAAAATGTAAATACTAATGAGGGTAGATATAGTACAATATTCTCAGTGGTGATGTGCCTGGAGCATCCTTCTTGGTGCTGGGACCGGCCAACTTCCCACCACCAGCTATGTCCACCCTGTGTTTGATGTTATTGTACAGCACCTTGGTCAGCTCTGTTGTTTTATGCTTTATAAAAAATAAGTGTGCGTGTGTCTCAATTCTCATGGCTGATATTTTTTTCTTTCTTTTTTTAACCTTTTGATCAGTCAGGATATCTGTAACAATGGAAATGGATATAAGTGGAGTATCCAGGACACGTGTCTCCATTCTTCCTACAACTGACATCAAAGCCACATTGAAACCAGAAGCAGAGAGACCTCGCTGTGCCAGCACCCCATGTTCACCAATCAGAGGTACTGTTGCAGGATACCAGATTCTCCACATGGACTCAAACTATTTGGTGGGCTTCACCACTGGTGAGGAGCTGCTCAAACTGGCCCACAAGTGGTCAGAAGGTAATCCTGAGAAGGCCCGTGTATCAGATGCAGTGTCCAGCTCCATCAAGAGCACTGTCCCTAAGTCTGTGGACCTGGGCATCCACCGGTCTTCACGTATTTTCAAAGCCAAAGGCCGGTACTACCAACCATACGACATTCCTGCTACTAATGGACGAAGACGAAGGCGTATGCCCAGTTCGAGCGACACCTTCCTCAGATCTCTGGCCCACGGCGAGTCTGGGAGGGCTCTGCATGCTCCACTACCACTCTGTTTGCTTAAAAGTAAAGGTGCCCAGTCCAAGTCTCTTGACTACCTTAATCTGGACAAAATAAGTATCAAAGAGTCATCAGACACTGAAGTGCTACAGTACCAACTGCAGCACCTCAACCTACGAGGGGAGCGTGTGTTTACCAGAAACAAGACATGAAAGCACAGTGAAACTTTTTTAGATGTGTTTCATCCTCTGGGGTATTTAGGTGCTATTTCTAGACTTGTTTCTTTCTACTATGATTATTAACAGTTCTTTAAGGAGGCAGTCTGATGATAATCTTGTTCTATTATTAGTTGGGAGGTTTACCTTGTTCTGTATGCTTAACATTATGAGGTTTTTGAGGTTAAAAAATTGAATTATATAAATTTAGCAATAACTGATGGACCTATTTATTGACAGTTTTTATTGGCATTGTTGTGTGTTTGTAATGGTTGGATACACACTATTATACCAGCTTATAGCTGAGAAAGCACATATCACATACAGTATCAGCTTTAAAATGCACCGTTGACATCAGTACAATAGTTTTACTGTGACTGTTCTTGTTTGTTTGACATTAAGGAACTGCATTTGGAGTTGTCAAATTAACAATATAATGTTATTGTATGTTGCACATTTATTTACGTATTTATTTATTGATGTAGTACTGTTGGTTTAGATGTCAATATGATTTCCACGCTCTAATTTACAGTAATGTAAGTAAATCAATTAAAAACAAAAAAAAACATGCCACTTGAAGTTTGTCGTAATATAAGATATGCCATGTGCTTTTAAGAGTTTTTTTTTTTTTCCTCTGTCCATAATGATGCACAAATATAATAATTATCAGTGCTTACACTACCATTTAAACGTTTTGACACACCTTCTGATTTAATGGTTTTTCTTTATTTTTACAACTTTCCACATTATAGGATGAGTTGTGTTGTGCAGAAGTCAGGTTGGTACACAGCTGAGAGCCCTGTTTGACAACTGTTAGAATTCATATTATGGCAAGAACCAATCAGCTAAGTAAAGAGAAACAACAGTCCATCATTACTTTAAGAACTGAAAGTTAGTCAGATGGAAAATTGCTAAAACTTCCAATATGTGCCCAAGTGAAGCCGCAAAAATCACTAAGCACTACAGTGAAACTGGCTCACATGAGGACCGCCCCAGGAAGTGACCTTTGCTGCTGAGGATAAGTTGATCCGAGTTAGTTAGGCAAGTTAACAGCACCTCAGATTAGAGCCCAGATAAATGCCACACAAGAGTCCCAGTAGCAGAACATCTATGTTCAAATTAAGCTTTTATGATCAAATAGCTAAGAAACCAATACTAAGGAAAAGTAACAAGCAGAAGACATTTGTTTGGGCCAAGAAACACAAGCAATGGACATTAGACCCATGGAAATCTGTGCTTTGGTCTGATGAGTCCAAATTTGAGATCTTTGGATCCACTCGCCGTGTCTTTGTGTGGGGCTGCTTTCCTGGTGACGTTGAAGGCAAACTGAACCAGCATGGCTACCACAGCATCCTGCAGCAACACGCCATCTCATCCGGTTTGTGTTTGGTTGAACAATCCTTTATTTTTCAACAGTACAACAACCCCAAACACACCTTCAGGTTGCACAAGGGCTATTTGACCAAGAAGGAGAGAGATGGAGAGCCAGATGGCCTGACCTCCACAGTCACCTGACCTAAACCCAAGATCATTTGGGATGAGAGTGAAGGCAAAGGGCCAACAAGTGCTCAGCATCTCTGGGAACTTCTTCAAGACTGTTGAAAAACCATTTCAGGTGATGACCTCATGAAGCTCATCGAGAGAATGCGAAGTGTGTGCAAAGCACTAATCAAAGCAAAAGGTGGTTATTTTGAAGATTCTAAAGTATAAAACATCTTTTGAGTCATTTCACACATTTTTGTTTACTACATAATTCTACATGTGTTCATTCACAGTTATGGTGCCCTCAGCGAGAATCTACAATGTAAATGTTCATGAAAATAAAGAAAAACCATTGAATGAGAAGGTGTGTCCAAACTTTTGACTGGTAGTGTATGTACTTTCACTTTTGATTGAATCCAATAACTGATGAAAGGTGGTCAATATAAATGACAGAGGAAAGACATGTAAAACATCTCCAGTCAGACTTTAACTAAGGATGCTTCAATTATTTGGTCATCTCCTTAGACCGCTGGTATCGCTTACTAATGTGACTATGAAAGGCATGAGAAAGAATTTTAGAGGGATGCAGAGTTTGCCATGCTTCTTTAAGAGACTCAATTTGCAGCCACGCTGGACAGAATGAAGGATTATCGTGTAGTTTGATTAAATTCAACCAAATGACCATGTGTCTTCCACTACAGATAGAGTGTGAGAGAGTGTCACTTCACTTCTTGTAAATCTTTATTGCTTATTGTAGCAAATATGTATCAGTGCATCATTTGTTTTCTGCATTGTTCATGACGGCAGTATGTACAGATGTGAGATGTGTTTTTAATAAGTGTGTAGATTTCCCTTACAGCTCGTAATGGTTGAGTTTTCAGTCCCTCTGTTGCAGAACACTTTTTTTCTGGACGTATTGCACTGTTGGATATGTGCTACAGACTGTCTCTGGAATTCTCTGCTTCTGTCACCACCATGGCACTAATTATGTGTTCCTATAGAAAACACTACAACGACAGTATTGTATATATAAGTAAGCCATTAAACACTTACAGATCTGTACACCCCTTGAGTATGCACCGTTGGACATGCTTCTTTGAAAGAATTGAAATTGTGAATTCTTGTTTCAGAACTTGTGTATTTTGTTACATTTATCAGTGTAAAATGTATTAATTTAAGCTGTAACAAGCCTTTGTGAAATCTAAATTTAATGTTATAATGGCATCTCCCAAGTTCTGTTGCGTAAAATGAAATAATCTGAGGTGCAATCTGTGAGATTCTCAGGTCAGAGCCATAGAGCATGTCAGTTGCATTGCTGTATGCCACTGTAACTTTCTAATACAATCTGAGAGCCAGAAATTATGAATTATGATGAGCAATAATTATTACCATTTAAAACATCATAAATACTGTAATATTAATTATGTAAAACAGGCACATTTCTAAATGAATTTAGCTTTTAGAAAGTGCTGTTTTTGTCTAAAAAGCTGTGTAAAGACAGAGAATTTTGAGTTAGTTCTTTCTGAATATTTATAATACGAATATTCTCAACTCTGCCCAGACTCAGATGAAGCAAATTCAAATTGGGTAGTCTGCAAAACATTCTTTTAACAAGTGTATTTTCATTTCTTTTTTAAGTGCATTTCACTTTATCCACAAATACTTGGTGGAAACAAAATAATAATGCAGTGTTGTGATAATATAACAATATAATTAAAAAAAAAAAGACTTTCACATTTTTAATGTTGTTGTGTGAGCTGACACTAGTGATCTCTTAACATGTTACACTACACCTTCCTCTATGAACTTTAATGTTTGTCTTGATGGGAACAAATATTAATTAGCAATATGAGTGACTTAAGTTAGGTAAAATTTTCTACCTAAAATAAAAACTTTTGGCAGTAGAGGATGTGAAATTCAGTAGTTTATACAACAGTTTAAATAGCCAGACAGTCTGTGATATGCTGTGAAGGATAATGTAGATCTCCTGTGTAGCCAAGTTCTTTTTTGTACTTTATTGTTATCACTTTTTAAAATGTTCCTATTTCTTTCAGCTGATAAAAAAAGGAGTTTTGTAAAGTTTTTATCTATTGAGCGTGATGGAGATCACTGTAAACGTTGCAGTAAAAGATTATTTGACAATGTGGCTGTTTTGAAAGCTGCTTTTGGAGACACCCCAATAATGATTGAATATGATGACTTCATAAAAAACTTGGGTCACTTAAAATAAAAAAAAAAAAGTCATCCCACTATCTTACTTAGTTGCGCATGAAGTCTCAATTCTGAACTGCATGCAGTCACTTTAATAGAAGGTTGTGTGCAAGGGGCATGAACAGCTCACTGTCAGCTAGACTACCATGTAGAAGACACACAGCTCAGAGTGACTATAGTAGAAGGAACAAAATGTTCAAAGGCCAGTAATACAACACATAATACAAGATAATCAAATACAAGCAGAAAACTTGCAAATTGGAGAGGAGATTGCATCTCACTACATTAGAGATTCGTCATTTAGACTGGAAAAAATTCTACTTTATTCTGTTGTTCTACAAAAAGCCCTCCGTAAAGCAGGAATATCTTACTATTTATCACTGATTCAGGAAACTCTATTAGTAGCACATCTCCTAATCCGAGGTTTGGTGGTTCAATCCCTGCATGCCAAAGTGTCCTTGAGGAAGATACTGAATGCAGAAAGAGTTCATAAATTAATTTAATTTGAATCATAACATTTGTAAGAAATGGATGGTAATTAAATGTAAGAAGCAAAATCTCAGGAATTGATTGTAGAATTTATTACAGTGACAGTAATACATTTCTGTCTGTTCTACAGTGGGGGGAAAGTATCAAAAGGAAAACTGGTATAAAAACACCATATTAATATAAAAGCATAGAAATGTCAACATTTGATATAAAAAATTAAAAAAAATGAAACCTGCCCAAAGAGTTTTTGGAATTCACAACACAGTATAAAGATGGCTAAAGATTAGAGGGCAATTAGCTAAACTGATGTAATCAATATCTTTTTGTTTTCACTGAGTCTGTTGTTAATTTTAATCTTGTGAATTGTTTTATGAAGCTATCTAAAAACATTTTTTAACTGAAATACGTGCACACAGAAAACAATAAAATGACTTACATTTCCTTTGAGAAAATGAAAAATATCAGAAGTAATTTTATTAATATCCAGATATTATTTTGCCTATAAGCCTGATGTCACCGTCCTGCACAATCCTCAGCATTCTTAAGTAGTTGGTGCTGTCTATAGAGATAGGCATACAGGACGTGTGAAGGATGGTTTCAAAGGAAAAGAACATGGTTGTTTAAAAACAATGAAAAGGTATAAGGTATTTTTAGGTATAAGATTAGTTAGGTAAAATAATACATCACAGGAAATGGAAACAAACATGTAATCCTTTTAATACAGTCTACACAGATGAAGGTGATCAATGTGATATTTGAACCGTTTAGCGATGTACTGACTTTTCCCATGTGACTGTTTTTTAATCATAATAAAATTTATTTATAGAGTATAAATTTTACGCCTCATTTGTTTGCGTATACAACCTTGATCTTTAAGCAAATAAAAAAATTAGTACCCATTGCAAAAATCCACAATGAATTATAAAAAATGAACGAGGCTGAGAGTAAGCAGTGTAAAAAAGAGAAGAAAGAAAAATCAAATAAATAATCTTGTCCCTCACATATGGAAAGTATAGCAGTCTGCAAACAGGAGGCTTAATCAGTGATCCACAAGATTCTGTCAGTATTTACAGACACATGTTCATTCACATTCTGGTCTCTTCTGGTGGTCCATTCATGTAGTGCTGAAGTGCCTGGTGTAAAGGCAGCCACTTCTTTATTGAAGCTTTGATAGCTATAATCCATCTGTAAAAAAAAAACAGAAACGTCAACATGACAACATCTTTCAACTGTTGTTTTTAAAAAAAAAAAAACCATTTAAAAAAGCTTATGTACGAGATAGTTTGATAGATCCTGGAATTGTCGTCTAATTTAAGCAGCACACTGAGAAGCAGACACAACAAAAACACACTAGAAAGATGTCTTTGTGTACAAATAGAGTAACAGAATGTCACCACAGTCCCTGGCGTTGTTGGGTCAAATAGAAGACGCTGTTACAAGTCAGTCACTTTTGATACCTAAACCGCACTCATACAAAGCTCTCTTATACTGACACAGGTGTACTAAGTGCAAGATCACAGGGGTTGCTGTTCCTAGTACTAAGAAGACATGCTGGTCAGCCAACAAGCTCACATACTAAGCCTGTGAATAAAACAAGAGTCAGCTCCTCACCGTTTATTTTCATTTGCGTTTTCAGCACACAGGTAGAAAGTTCTGAACTCATCAGATGGAGGTTTCAGCTCAATGATTGAATTCTTGGCTCCATAAGACTGCTCTCGCACCATGTAACCCTGAAGGTAGATGCCACCTGAAGAAATGATGATAAGATGAATATATGTTCCATTTTTTTCACAAATGTAGTCACTATGGAAGGTCACCAGACCAGATCATTCATTCGCAGCAGCAGGTCATGTATTTGCTTTCCTTTGTCAATCAAAAGAGCAAAACCAGCATTCAGCATTTATTATAAAAAGAATTTCATTTAACTGGTAAGTTGTTATGCAGACACTTGAAGTGAGATTTTAAGGGACAAAACACTGTGAGACATAACCAATAGGTTTGAGTGATTGGCTTACTTGTCCTTACTTAAAAAAATAAAAATGGGAATAAACATTAGTGACATTTTACATTGTATTTATGTCATTACATTTATGCTGGTAAGGCATAAAACTAATATGAAACAGAAAGAAAAAAGCTCCACGGTGGCTGTTACAATAATTTATATAAGTATGTTTCTGTCCCACAGTTTCTGGCCAATTAGAGAAGAGTGTATACAATAAATTGTTTCTCGCCATTGCACACAGACCTGTTTTAGAACATCTGTATCATGTTGAACATGGGTCTAACAAATCCACAGAGATCCATTATTTAATATACAGAATTCCTTTGAGCCTTTATTCGATCCTTATTTTGATTCACCAGTTCATGAAATAGGCTGTCACCAACTTGCCGCTTGCTGTGTATGCACATATATATATATGAGCTGAAAATCAGCCTTGTTGACTGTTACCAGCTTATCAGAAACAGCCTATGCTGATGAAAGCGCTGATGTTTTTTGTTGTGTCACATTAACGTTTCCCCGTCAAGTGTTTTGTTGAGATAAAGAGCATGAACAAAGTTTATGAGAACAGTATTTTTTAGAGTGAAGATTTATTTGTTTCCCCAACATAAAAGAGGAATAAAATAGGACAAGAATAACATGACCAAAGAGTTAAAATTTTTCATAGACAGAATTTAAAACACTCCTGTGGCAGTTTATTTACTCCTATAGAAATGTATAGGTTATAAAGTCATGATAACTGACACAAATAAACCTATTCATGAAAATGAGCGTATAGTTTGCTTTTCTAATGAATATACCAAGTTTTGCTATGAGATTGGCTTGGAATTTAAAAACTGGGGCAGTAGCATTGTCTCTAAAAAACTCGATTGAATTCCTAATACACAGAGGAGCAAATAAGTAATATTAACACCAGTCTAAATGTACAGACGAGTACTAGGGCCACATTAAGAAAAAAGAATATTATTGATCATTTTAAGACTAAAGTTACACTTTTGACAAATTAATTCTATTTTGAGAAAAGAAGTTGAATTTCTATTTCTATAACTATTACCTTGTGTACAGAGACTAAAATATTTGCTATTGCATAAAGCTCAGTAAGCTGTTAATTCACCTGTAGTACAGTCCCAATCAAAAGTTTAAAATCATATTTTGCATGGTTGGATCTTAACAAGGTTCCAAGTAGAGATTCAAGATGGAAAAAGAAGAAATGGGAGTGAGACAAAACATTTTTTGAGTATACAATTTATTGAAAACAACACTTAAACTGAAACAGGCTGTTTTACAGTCGATCAAAATTTAGGACCACGTACCATTAAAAGGTCAAATCTGTGCAATTAAATGTGGATTGAATTTCATTTTCTGTCAGTCTGTCTGTCATGACTTTTTGATGGCAAAGGCAAGAAAAGAAAACTTTCCCTTTTTGAACTTGGTCAGTATGTTGAACCACATAAGCAGCGCACCATCACAGCTGAGGTGGGATGCAGTAAGACAATCATTTGGAATTTCTTAAATGATCCTGAGGATTATGGAACAAAAAAGTCAAGTGGAAGACCGAAAAATATTTCACCAGCACTGAGCCGGAGGATGCAGTTGGCTGTCCGTCAAGACACTGGATGATCCTCGACCGAAATTAAGGCTGTTACTGGTGCCGACGGCAGCCTGATAACCATCAGACGGCATCTGACACTGAAGGGCTTCAAAAATAAAAAACATCTTCAAAGGCCTCGTCTCCTTGAACGCCACGGAACTGACTGTTTGGACTTTGAAAGAGAGCACCAAACATGGGATGTTTCCAACGTTAATGCCGTTGAGAATACCATCACATTTTTGGACCATCCTGCGTGTTCCCTTGATCTTAATCCAACTGAGAACCTTTGGGGATGGAAGGCAAGAGAAGTTTACAAAAATGGACAACAGGTGCAGACAGTAGATGCCGATGCTTTGTGCGGCCGTCTTCACCACTTGGAGAAATGTTCCCACTCACCTCATGGAAACGCTTGCATCAAGCATTCCGCAACAAATTCTTGCAGTGATCAACAATAACGGAGATACTCATTACTGAGTTCATGTCTGGATCTTTGATTTCTGTTTTTTGGGGGGTTATGGGTTTTTTGAAGGTGTGGTCCTGATCTTTTGATGTAAAACAGCCAGTTTCAGTTTAAGCATTGTTTTCAATAAATTGAATGCTCAGAAAAATGTTTTGTCTCACTCCCATTTCTTCTTGTTGCATGTTGAAGCTTTACTTGGAACCTTGTTAAGATCCAACCATGGAAAATATGATGTTTTTTTGCCATTTTTCAAGTGGTCTGAAACTTTTGATCAACACTGCATAAGTAAGACCAGCTTAAACTCTGGAATCTTGACTTTGAAAATGATATAGTTGATAGTACACCCTTAATTTTACTGATTGTTAACATCTTATTGCAAACTTCAGTTTTATTGTTGAGAGCCCAGCACTGGTATTTTGTGGCATTTTCTGCTTGTGACATTTACATGACATCAAATAGCTTTTTATAATTACAGTCAATTTTTGCAGCCTTTTTTCTTCGACATTAAACATTTTAACAGAACTGTCCAAGGCTGTGGGAAGCAGGGGTGCTGCGGGTGCTGCAGCAACCCCTGTCACCAAAGACAGACATCACAGCACCACCTGCCAGGTGCTAAAAAAAAATCAATAAAACACCAGTCCTGTCATTATTTTTCTCAGAAATATTTTTCCCTTCCTATAATTCTGGAACTGCCACTGCTATGTTCCATGTCAGTGTTTAAAACATGATGTAGAGCTGTACCTTGTGCGTGAGTTGCACGGATGCCACTGTACAAGTAGAGGCACCCATCCTTCAGAATGCAGTAGTGCTGTACCCAGGAATCCTTGCTTTTATCCATTTTATGAAGCAATCCAAGACAGTCTGGATTTTTTACAGCCAGCGGGGGCAGATTAGAGTTGTGTTTAGTGACATCCACCCAAACATGGTTCTAAAACATAAGAGTTATTTGAGATCAGTTTAATCTTAAACTGGTAGTAAGCCACCACAATCAACAACATGACCTATTTACTCCAATCTGAGGTAAATGTTATATGCAATTAAATGAACATTTTCTGTAACAAGCCCTCTTTGATTTATGAAAATATAGAACTTACTTGTGTAATGGTATGAGTAGCTTTCTCCATAGCTTCCAGCCATCTGGAATCCAACAAGACAAATAAGATTTTAAACATGGTTTTTATTTCAATTTCTCTCTTTCGCTTTTTGAAGAAATAAAGAATATAGACTGCAATATGTTTGGTTTGGAAAGTTATATCTGTCTTTCTACCTTTTCATTTCCTGGTTGGAAGTGGCACAGAAGAAGTAAACTCGAAAACCAGACTGAGGATGACACTTAAACACAAATGGTTTTCCAAGTGAAGTGTCTGGTCCCACCTCAGCCCCTTCCATCTTTATTGCTGAAAGTGCCTGCCTTTTGCCTTCATCCTGTAATGACCATGAAGTAGTGCCAAAAGCACACAAAAATGTCTTTGTGGACTGTTTGATTTTGATGACCTGTATCATGCTTACCCGTTTGTGTCTGTAGTAGTAAAGGCAGCAGTCATGCGTCAGTACAAACCACCTCTTTCTCCATCCTTTAATCAGACCAGACTGAGTACGCTTATGAAGGTAACCACGACAGGCTGGTCTCGGTGTGTTAGGACCACGAGCAATGTCTGAACCAACAGTCAATGTCAGAACATCTGGACCTATAATATTAACAATATCACAGTTACCATGCAATTTAGTCTTCTGGCCTCCATATTGGTTCTTTATGAGTCCATTCCACAAATGTGCTTTATTGTTTATAGCACAGCACACCTTGTCTGGCTAAATCAGCAGCTTCAGAATGAGGAATGCTGGTGACATCAATACCATTGACAGCTAGGACATAGTCTCCTACCATCAACCCAGCTTCCTCTGCAGCTCCATCTGAAACAGAAATAAATAAATGTTAAACTAACAAGGAAACAACACGATGTAAGTTATCAAAACAAATGACAAGCAGAAAAGCAAACACAGTCCCTACAGTACATAAGTGCACAGAAATTTTTTCAAGTATGACACAAACTTTTTGTGGAGTTAGATTTTTGCTCATCTGCCTTCCCATTCTAAATACAGAGGGCTGAGCCCATTTGGGGCTACAACAGCTT